TTTTGATGGGAGCTGTTTGCCTGTAGGATTGTTTTCCAGCCTTTGACTCTGAGTCTGTGTTTGCTTTGACTATTAAGATGTGTTTCTTGCAGGCAGCAGAATGTTGGGTTCAATTTTCTAATCCATCCTGCCACTCTATGTCTTTTAATTGGTGTGTTTAGCCCATTGACATTGAGAGAGATTATTGTTATGGGATTTTGTCCCATTGTTCTGTTGAAATTTGGTGTATTTGAGGGGCCCGTCTTGCCTTAAAGTAGCCCATTTAGTTGTTCTTGTAACCATGGTTTTGAGTCTATGAAGTTCCTGAGCTGTTGTTTGTCTGTGAAACTGTGTGTTGTTCCTTCTATTATGAATGAGAGTCTCGCTGGGTAAAGTATTTTGGGGGAGGCATTTATTTCATTGAGTTTTTTCACTATGTCCCACCACTGTTTTCGGGCCATGAGGGTTTCATCAGAAAAATCAGCTGTGAATTTTAACAATGCCCCTTTGTAAGAGATTTCTTTCTTCGATCTTGCTGCTTTCAGAATTTTGTCTCTGTCTAAGGTTTTGGTCATTTTGATCAGAATGTGTCTTGGGGTATTTTTATTCGGATTTCTTCTAGCTGGTACCCTTCGGGCCTCCTGAATGTGGTCACAAGTTTTTTTCAGCTCTGGAAACGTTGTAGCAATGATGTCTTTGACAGTTTCTTCTTCATCGAGGTTTTCTTCCTGTACCTCTGGGACTCCAATAATTCTTATGTTACCCCTCTTGGCTTCATCACGATCTTCTCTTGCCATCTGTTCCCGAATTGTGAGTCTCTTTTCCATTTTCTGCTCTTTTCTGGAGAGTCTCTGAACTTCATCTTCGAGCTCACTGATTCTGTTCTCAGCAGCTGTTACTCTGCTGCTGAGGCCTTCCACTGAGTTTTTCAATTCGCCTACGAGATTTTCCAAGTCTGACATTTCCGATTTCATTTTCCTCATTTCTGCCTTCAAATCCTCTTGTCTTCTATTGGCATTGCTTTCCAATGTTTCTTTTAGTTCCCTAAGCATCCTAAGTAGCTCCCTTCTGAATTCCTTGTCAGAGAGGTGTCTAACACTACAGTACTGTTGGTGTCATCTGGGCTACGCATTTCAATAAGAAAGTTTGGTGGGCTTTTGCATTGCTTTACCATTTGTGAGAAGTGTGGTTTAGTCCTTCACGTTCACTGTTACTATTCTGCTTGATATGCAGTGTGAGTTAAGATAGGCTTACGAGTTATTGGCTACTGTGTTTCTAGTGGCTGAGCTAAACTAGAGAAGTTTCCATCTAAGAAGGTAGCTTATGGTTCCTATGACATATGTAGTGGGAAAATATTTCGCGGCCGCGTTAGCGGCCGCGGCTCCGGGAAGAGTCCCTGGCACTGGGTGAGGAGTTGGGAACGTCTCCTGGTTGGAATGAGGAGCCGTTCAGCTTTGTTGCCCAAAGCTGGGCCTCCGTGCCCGTCCCACGCAGATCAGGGGAGAAAACCGGCTTTCTAGGAGATGGATCTAGCTGCGCATGCCCAGAGAGGGTCCCAGGCCCTTGGGGGTGGGCTGTACCTGGTTGGAATTGGAGCCGTTCAGCTTTGTTGCCCAGAGCTGGGCCTCTGTGCCTGTCCCGCGCAGATCAGGGGAGAAAACCCCAGAATGAATTTTTAAATCTATTTCACTTCTACCAGTATTTCTTTAGAACTGTAAGTTGGGAGGTGTTTAATGTATTCTATTATTACCTTTTGTAAACCATGACCTTTTATTTATTTTGTTAAATCTCTATGAAACAAAAATTGCAAGGGTCATTGCTCTAACCCTTAATAGTTTAGAACTTTAGACATTTGTCATGTATCTGACACACTTAAGTTTTCTGCCTGAAGGCAGCGTTCTTCACCTGTTGGAATATCTTCAGGGTCCCCATAATAGTGGTGAAGGAACAACGTAAGGGCAGCCATTAGTAGCTGCCTAGTGCATGCATTTGAGACTTCGGAACACTGCCACAAAGGAGAATTATTCTCCTTCCTATTGCCCCACTTCAGATATAAATTAAGGTTCTAGGTTAATACACTATCTCTGAGTGGTTGTTTTAAATATTTCTATTGGCCATCATTAGGTGCATATATGTTTAGGAATGTGATATGTTGGTGTATTGCTTCCTTGATCATTATGAAAAGGATTTTCCATAGAGCCTTTTTAAATTTGAAGTCTGTGTTGTCTGATACAAGAATGACCGTCCCTGCCTTTTTAAGGGAATTGTTGTAAGATATTTTTCAGTCTTTTGACTTTGAGCTTGTAATTACCCTGACTATTCAGGTGTGTCTCTTGTAGGCAGTGGAAAGTCTAATCCACCCTGCCTTTCTATGTCCCTTGGTAGGTGAGGTTAGGCCATTGTTGTTGAGTGAGATCATTGAGTTGGAGTAATTTATTGCTAGTTGATTAATACACAGTCACCTTCTTTACCTTTACTCTATTTGGGACTCCAAAAACTACTTCCGTATCATTTATAAGGAAGTTTATTTATTAGATAATCAAGCCAGTATACACAACAAAAATTTAGCAGTTAAAATTCTTATTAGTGATAAATGAAACTGTTGTTTTGGGAGGAGTACAAAGAAAACTCTAGGCTCTAGACTGGGTTAGTTAGATTTCATTGAAATTTTTCTTCTCCAATTATTTGGGTACTGGAAGGTTCAACTCTGAGTCATTTCCATATGGGAATTCTGTGAGTAATAGGCCTAGAATGGGGTACCAAAAAGAAATGGTCATCGAAAAAAATCTTTAATACTGTAGTTCTCATCCTTAACTACACAAATCAAGCTGTTTAAGAGAGGTTATAGTCTGAACTTTTATGAGAATACAGCTACCTGCTTAACCCAACCACTTTCCACAAAAGAAAAAATCATAACACAGCAAGATTAGGAATAGAAAGCTCTATACGAGATATTTTCAGGGTGACTAAATACAACATACCCATTCTTCTGCAGAAATTTCAAATTAACCTGGCCTTATCAGCACCTTAATCCAGCCACTTGCATCCCTAATTAATTTAACTGTCTCCTTTCTACTAGATCCAAATTTGAGATACGTCACAAACAGTAGCCATACGAGCATGTGCCCATAGCTTCTGTTCCTGCCATTGTGGTATTCCCCTGCTTACACTCACTCCGTGACTCCTTTTTATACAAATGATAAAGATCCCTGGATGCCAAATATTATTTTCTAATTTACAATTGTTTCCAGTGTGCAGCATGTAGAGTAGTTCCTAGGGCTAGGTGTGATGAGGAAGAAAAAAAGCAGCAAACCAAACACACAGATAAATAACCCCTCTAGTTAAAAAGTTTGATAAATTCCTCTCTTATCATGGACCCAACGTAGAGATTTTCTCATTTTAATACATACTTTAAAGGGTTATTTCACCCTGGAGAGTTATCCATATTGTTGAGTGTCTAGGATGACCAATATTTCAGAAATATATCAAACAGTTCAGTCACTCAAACACTTTGTTTAAAAGTGCCAAAAGTTGTGGCTGGAGCACTAGTAGAGTTGGTAGGGTACTTGTTTTGCACATGCATGACCCTGGTTCAATTCCCAGTACCCCATATAGTTCCCCTGAGTGATCCCTGAATGCAGAGCTAGGTGTAAGCCCTGAACACAAACTGGCATGGCCCCCCAAAAGCAAAAACTTAAAGCCCCCCAAATGCCAAACTTCACTAATTCTAGTTCCATTCATGTCAGGTCAATTACATGCTAAAATTAGAGTTTGGAAAGACAGTACAGTAGTTAAGTTAATTTGCCTGACATACATTGACCGCAGCTCAATGTCTGGTACCGAGTATGTTCCCCAAGCACCTCCAGGAGTCATCCCAGAGCACAGAGCCAGGAGTAAGTCCTAAGGACTGCTGAGTGTGGCCAAAAAAAAAAACAAAAAATAAATAAAATTTTAGAAAAATAAAATAAAAATTCTAATTTGTAAATACCTGGAAATTTGGTTCTATGTAGGAAAAAAAAAGCAAATTCAAGGCTGAAGAAATAGCTTACTGAAACAGACATAAGATAATGTCTTTAAAATGTACTTTGCTTTTATTAAATTTTTGCTCTAAATGTATCATTTTATCATCCATCTGTTTGTTAAGTACATGAGTCAAATTGGAAAAATTATCAACCATGGAAGTTCAAACAATGATCACATTACATTTTTCTTTAAATTTATTTTTTGTAGCAGAAATCTACCAACTGAAACAACACTGAATTTCTCTTTTCCATTATTTGCCTTCATGGCCATTGGTGCTATATTTATAAGTCCTCCCTCATCAGATGTTAAATTCTAAAATTTTGCTTTTTTGCAGGGATAACTCCAAAATGTACACTTGTAAAGTTCTTTTATTTTTATCTCTCTGAATATTTATGTTTATGCTCATTTATGTATTGTGGAAAAATACTTTATATAATTCAAGTTTTCATGTAAGAAAAATATTTCACACATATTCTATTATCTATTGTTTTTGAAGGGTAAGACTGACCTATAATAATAATATAAGGTGAAGTACTTTGAAGTGCCCACTTATTTATAGAATAACTTAAATAAGTTCACTGCCTTACGTTCTGAAGCTTTCTCTTCCCATAGAGTTGGCCTAGCTGAAAAGCCAAATTATACAATGCTCAGATATTTAAGAAAACTGCCTATAAATCCTCTTGTTTTAGACAGTTTTGGGAATGAATATATTTGAGTGACTGTTTCTTAAATGTTCTCTTGTTACTTAGCTGTAAAATATATTCCATATCCATACCAGAGGCAGACATAGCAGAGCATCTCAGCAAATGGTTTATATTTACTTGCATTCCTGTTTTTAGTTACCCATATTTTTATTACAGAGTAAAGTTATGTATTTATGTATACATATATGTGCTTTTGCTTTATTCATAGACTTATGAACTTATAAAGAACTTATACTCACTAACTTATTCACAAGTTTCAGCTCAAAATGTTTTTCCATTTGTTCTCCATTGTAGGGTAACCACAGTGTCCAGGGTTCTCCTGGCCTGACATCTAGTTCTTCAGGGTTAATTCAGTTAACAGTTGAGAGCACGCTGGGGAAAGCTGCAAGGTGGACCAAAAAAGAATATCTAAACAGTGCACGCACAGAAACAGGAGCACCAGGAAACCAGAATTCTTTCATGAAGCAAATAGATAGAAATGGCTTTGAAGCAAATTTGGTGCCTACACCAGGCCTTTCTCCCCCTGGAAAAAGGAGTGAATTCTCTCAGAAAACTGCAGATCCCATTATTAAAGCAAAGGACCTACTGGCCTTTCAAGTGCCGGCTTCAATAAACCAAACCTCCCTGAAGGAAATATCAGGGGAGAACTTGAAACCAATTCCTCGTGTACCTGTAAGTGGCTTCACTGTGGTTTACCCATCTGAGCTCTGTGTCCTGCTATGTTCCATTCTTTGCCACTCTGCGCACAATCCTGGCAATATCTATTTTTTATTATTTAGTTAATCAGTAATGTATTTTTTCCTATTCAGTTGTGGTTTTTCTCAGAAGCAGCAGCTGTTAAAAAGTATATTGCACATCCCAGCGATAATAGAATGCCTCATGTTTTTAATGAGAAAGATAGTTACCATAATAGTTATTTTTTATTTCCCAGTTACTTCTCATAATTTTAGTATCATTGCCAGAAAATTATAAATGAAGATTTTATTTTTGAGCCAAAAGCTTGCCAGTTAAATTGACAGATTTTCAATAACAATCTACATTAGGAGCCATAAAAACATCATTATTCTATTCACTTTCTGGTCTCTTTGCAGCAGCTCCCCAAATAATAAATGATATGAGTGAAGGTTAACAGTAAAGTAGTAGCAGTGAATAAATCCCTAGAGTAGTTCAGTGGCTATAATCATGTCCATCAGATTGATTTTTTTCCATCCACTATTAGTACTTTTCATCCTTCTCTGAGCCCCCACACTCCTAAGAGCTGCACTTAGTACCTAGAAAAAAATAAGACTATGTGGAAGAAATTATATGTATCCCATTTTTCAAACATTAAGGATTTATATTTATTGCTATGGCCTAAGTATTCTATAAGTGTTGCAATGTAAAAATTTTGACCAGTTTTGTTCATAATAATTTAATGCATTAGTTTTTACCTACCCAAGTAATAGACATAGACAATACACTCTTATCAACAAAATAAAAATAGTTTCTATTAAACATTTACCATATGTCAATCACTGTGACAAGACATTTTCCAGAAAGTATTTCACTTAATTTTCACAATAACCTGGAATGGTAGAAATAAACATCATCCCCATTTTCCAGATGGGGAAATTGAGGTTCCAGAGGGACATGTGATTTGTTCAAGAACAAAAGCTAATTCACTGGTAAGTCACAGTTTGAACCTACATGGTCTGACTCTAGAACTGCTTCCCATATAGTCTTATGCCATGCTGCATAAACATGTCCTAACATGTTTTATAACGGTGGCCTCTCCCCAAGAATCATCCAAAGGTGAAACTGAAGACTGTTTCCTTCTGTTATATCTCATGCTTGTGTTCAAGTGTACATATGTATAAGAAAAAAGTAGCAGAGCCAGGAAGGTAAAGGGGCATGACATATTCTTTGAATGCAGCAACCCCAGGTTTGATTCATAGCACCACATGCTCCCTCAAACACCACTAAGTGTGGCCCAAAACCACCTCAAAAAAGAAAGAAAATAGCAAATTATTTACCCTAATTTAGAATGACAGTGGGTGATACAGTTCTTCATATTTTTCTTTTTTGAAAATATTTCTAGCAAATGTCTATAACTTTCTTTCTTTGGCTATACTAGCTATCAAAATACAGTAGCTAATACACTATTAGACTTATTATAGGACACTGCCTCACTTGATTACAGCTACAACTTGGTATCCAATGATAGAACCAAAGCAAGTCTTTGAGAATCTTTCCACCCAGTTTCTCCAGTAATTTCTTTGCCACCAATTTCATTGTGTAAAAATCTGTGAAACAGTATATCCCAAAAAAGTTATTGTTTCTTCAAGTTACTTCGTGAAAATAAAATAGAAACGTTTTGATCTTCCTGTAAAATAAAACTAGAGCATGAGAATATGAATGGGAATGTAAGGCACAAATGGACTTGAAGTACTTGGCCTCTAGTGAAGTCCACTGCCTCCAAAATAGTCCCAGTAATACAAGGAATCCTGAAAATAACTAAAGGGTAGAACAGTGGCACTTTCCCTTCACCCTTTGTCTACATTGAAGGGGCTTTGAGACAAAAACAATTCCTGAAAACCATGTTGGTATTTCAGGAGACCCTTTGTGCCCTTACAAAGCACAAGCCTGAAACACAGTGTTTGCTGAAAGTGTGCCCCTGAGCTACTGCTGTTCCATTTTACAGCTAAGGAGACTGACAAAGCATTCCCCTCAAAGCAATGAAAGGGGAAGACAAAGTGTCTTTGTCTTTTCTCTTTATTGAGGCGATAATCGCTCAAAGGTAGGGTTGTCAACCTGTACAAAAAAGTTTGACATCACTTTCAAAATTCAGACTCATAAAATTTGATTTAAAAAACCCATATGATTGTAATATCTAAAGTCCACGCGTGTGAAAGTGATCATCTTCATTTAACATGGTAGAAATTATGGAGGGCATATACAGACTGCCACGATTCCAAAGTCAGTATATAATGGGAATAGTGTTCCAAAAAAAAAAAAAAAAACCCTTTATAAAGGAACTGTATGGTTACTGTAAAAGAATTCTAGAATTCTGATAACTAGCATTGTTTCCTCTTGATGTTTGCAACTAAGAATATTTTTAAAAATCGCTTTCTTAAAAGTGATATGTTCTTGGGGCTGGAGCAGTAGCACAGCAGGTAGGCAGGTAGGGCATTTGCCTTGCTTGTTTGATTCCCAGCATCCCTGAGCACCGCCAGAGGTGATTTCTGAGTACTGAGCCAGGAGTGACCCCTGTGCATTGCTGGGTGTGATCCAAAAAGCAAAAAAAAAAAAAAAGTGATTATATTCTTACTAACTACAGGAATATCTCCCCCAGATTTCTTTTTTATTTATTTCTTTATTGAATCACCGTGGGAAAGGTTACAAAGCTTTCAGGTTTAGGTCTCAGTCATGCAAATATCAAACACATTTCCCTTTACCAATACTTATTTTTTACCATGAAGAACCCCAATAAAACCCCACCCCCCACCCCTCCCCGTCCCTGTGAGGCAGATGAATTCTAGTTAACACTCTATCTGCTTTGATTAGATTCATTGTTTCAATAAAAGATTCACCACTATTATTTAGAGTTTACCCCCCCCCCAAATCAGACATGCTGAAAAAGCATTGTGAAGTGATTTGCTTTCTACAGCTGGGTTCAAGAATTAAATGTTGGTTTTGGATTTCTGCTATTTTACTTATTGACCCTGGAAGTATTTCTACTGAAAGTCAGATAGTTAAGAAATTGGTTTCTGTGCTCTGGAGTCGTGGCCGTGCTGGAGAGCCGCTCGTGGGGGGCAACTGGTGGCCTCGGTAGGGCGTGAAGGGCGGACCGAAACACCCCACTTCCCATGAGGTTTTAGTCGCCCCCACTCCCCCGGCTCATACCTGCTGTCCACAAGGCTCCCATGCGGCCGCCATCTTTCTTTCCAGAGAGGAGAAGGCGACTGTCTCCCCCAGATTTTAAAACCCAGTAGGGGGCTTTAAGAATGCCTCCATTTAGTCACATGCTACAAGAATTAAGTGTTTTTTAAAGTATATTCAAGTGTTTTTTAAAGTGTATTAAAAAAAACCTGTGCAACTATCACTGCTGTCTAATTTGATCACTTTAGAAGAAACTCCATTCCCAATTAACAGTCCCTTCCTATTCCCCTCTTCCCACAAAGTTTTGATAACCAGTGTTCTTTTTGTCCATGGATTTACCGATTATGGATCTTTCATAAAGGAAATCATAAAATTTGCAAACTCTTTTTTTATAAAAATATATATTTAAATTTTTATTAGTGAAACATCATGAGGTACAGTTGTAGACTTACAAATTCTTGTGCTTGGATTTCAGTTATACAATGATCGAGTACCCATCCCTCCACCAGTGCCCATTCTCGACCACCAATGATCCCAGTATCGCTCCCAACCCCCCAAGCCCCCATTCCACCCCGCCTCTGTGGCAGGGATTCCCTTTTGTTCTTTCTCTCCTTTTGGGTGCTGTGGTTTTCAAAAGAGGCATTGAGTGGAAATTATGTTCGGTCTGTAGTCTACTTTCAGCATGCATCTCCCATCCTGGGAGGATCTTTCTAACACCCTTTACTTGGCGTTCCCTTCTCTATCTAAGCTACCTTTTCCCTTAGCATGTGCGGCTGGCCTGTAAGCCATGGATTGAACCTCCTGGTACTTATATCGGCTATTCTTGGGTGTTAGTCTCCTATTTTGTTACTTTATATTCCCCAGATGAATGCAATCTTTCTATGTCTGTCCCTCTCTGATTCATTTCACTTATCATGATACTTTCCATGTAGTATCACTAGATACTTTCCACCTGTATGTAAATTTCATGACTTCATCTTTTCTAACAGCTACATAGTACTCCATTGTGTAGATGTACCAAAGTTTCTTTAACCAGTCATCTGTTCTTGGGCACTTGGGTTTTTTCCAGATTTTGGCTATTGTAAAGAGTGCTGCAATGAACAAACAAGTGCAGATGTCACTTCAACTATACTTTTTTGCCTCTCTGGGATATATTCCCAGCAGTGGTATTGCTGGGTCAAATGGGAGCTCAACTTCTAATTTTCTGAGACACACCCATACTGTTTTCCAAAAGGACTGAACCAGTCGGCATTCCCACCAGCAGTGAAGGAGGGTCCCTTTCTCACCACATCCGCGCCAACACCGGTTGCTTTTGTTCCTTTGGATGTGGGCCAGTCTCTGTGGTGTGAAATGATATCTCATTGTTGTTTTGATCTGCATCTCCCTGATGATTAATGGTGCAGAGCATTTTCTCATGTGCCTTTTTGCCATTTGAATTTCTTCTTTGCGAAAGTTTCTATTCATTTCGTTGCCCTGTTTTGGATGGGGTTGAATGTTTTCTTCTAGTGGAGTTCAACCAGTAGTTTGTATATCCTTGATATCAACCCCTTGTCAGATGGGTATTGGGCGAATATCCTTCCCCATTCTGTAGACTGTTTTTATATTTTGGTCACTATTTCTTTTTTTTTCCTTAAATTTTTATTTGTGAAACACCATGAGGTACAGTTGTAGACTTATAAATTTTTGTGCTTGGGTTTCAGTTATACAATGATCGAATACCCATCCCTCCACTAGTGCCCATTCTCCACCACCACAATTCCCAGTATCCCTCCCACTCCCCTTCCCCCCGCCCCACCCTACCACTGTGGCAGGGC